GTTTGCATTTGTCTGAGAAGCGTGAGACGAAACGATTAAGTGCTGCTAGCATCCCCATGAGCTTTTGGACTTCTCGGACAGTTCGGGGGCTTCGGATGTCCAAGATCGCTTGAATCTGATCCGGGTTAGCTTCGATTCCTCGTTGACTGACCAGATATCCGAGACATTTATCCGATTCCACTCCGAAAATGCACTTTGCCTCGTTCAGCTTCAGCCCGTACTCCCTGAGGGTGGAGAAGGTATGTGTCAAATCTGCCAGATGATCACAACTTCGTTTGCTCTTCACCAGCATATCGTCAATGTAGACCTCCATGGTGTTGCCGATCTACTTTTTGAACATCCGATTCATCAGTCTTTGGTATGTCGCCCCGACGTTCTTTAGTCCCAACGGCATCACTTTGTAACAGTAAACTCCCTTCGGAGTGATAAACTCCATTTTTTCCTGATCTGGGGGATGGAGATGGATCTGGTGATATCCTGCTCGGGCATCCAGGAAGTCCATGCGTTCATATCCGGCAGTAGCGTCCACTAGCTGGTCCACCTTTGGTAGGGGGTAGTCATCCTTGGGACATGCCTTGTTTAGATCTGTGAAGTCTACTCAGACACGCCATTTTCCCCCTTCTTCTTCGCACAAACTGTGTTAGACAGCCATTCTGGGAACTGTATCTCTCGAATGGCGTTGGCCTTCAGGAGTTTGTCGATTTCTTCGTTGACCACGCAGGCGTGATGCGGGGCCATGCGTTGTGATTTCTGTTTGACTGGCTTGTGTGCCGGGTCAACATGCAGCTTGTGCGTGATTATCTCGGGGTCTACCCCCGTCATTTCCATTGCGTTCCAAGCGAACACGTCTGCATTTCCCCTTAGGAACTCAATCATCTCCTCCTGTTCGGCTGCGGGCATCGCGGTCCCAACTAAGAAATATCTTTCTTCTTCTCCCTCCACCAAGGGCACCTTCCGGAGGTCCTCCACCGACCGCTCAGTTGGGTCTATCCGGAGGTCATCCATTCTTGGACGCCTGGACTGTGATTGCTATTTCTCCATGATCTCTTCCAGGGCTCGCCCCTTTTCTTAGGTGAACGCTCCGGCTCTAACAGCTGAATAAAAACAATTTTTTGCAGACGCTTGGTCCCCCCGGATCTCCATGATACCTTCTGGCGTGACAACTTTTAGTTTCTGGTGGTAAGTGGAGTGCACCGCTCCCAACGCATGCAGCCATGTTCGTCCCATGATCACGTTGTAAGGAGAGTCCGTATCAATTACGACAAACTCGGAGTTGATGATGAAGGGACCCGTGACAACTGGCAATGTGATTTTGCCTACGGGCAGGGCGAATGAGCCGTTGAATTCGATGAGGGGTGTCCTGACCTTGGTGAGGTCCTTTAGGCCAAGACCCATCCGTTTTAAAGTCTCGGAGTACATCACTTCCGAGGAACTTCCAGAGTCTATCAATACCCTTTTTACGTCGAATTTACCTATCTTCAGGGTTATGACAAGGGCGTCGTTATGAGGAGTCACTACGCCTGTCAAGTCCGCGTCGGAGAACGTGATGCTGGACTCACCAGTCCTGGCCCTTTTACTGGGTGGCCCCCCATCATCCTTGGCTACCTTCCTTGTAAAAGCTACCCTCTTGAGGTCGGACTCGAGTTCCTTGGACGTGGGGCGATCCAGGGGACATACATGGATGACATCTATGACGTTGTCCGGCTCCTCGGTCGGGGCAAGGGTGTGTCTCTCTTCTGGCCTGGGCTCTATGTATTCTTTCAAGTATCCGTCTCGGACCAATCTTTCCAAGAACGATTTGTATACCCTGCAGCTTTCGGTGCGATGTCCGAAATCCCGGTGATAGGAACACCTAACCTTTTGATCATGGGTGCAGGGATCGCTCTGCATCCTGGGCGGCCACTTGAAAAACGGCTCATGCTTGATTTTATGGAGCAACTTGAAGATGGGTTCCTTGAACATAGTGTGAACTCTTTTGGACGACCCCCTTGGAGGGGGTAGCAATCCCTTTCGGGGAGTCTCCTCCCGCTCTCTCTCTTTTCTCTTAGATTGGAGGGTTCGGCCTTTGCTGTTTCTCATCTCGTCCACGATCCTTGAGTATTTGTTTATCCGGGTCATCAGCTCGCCCATATCCGAGGGAGTCTTCTTAGTCAGGGATCGGTACAGGTCCGTGTCCCTCGCCAAGCCGAGCCTGAAAGACGCCGCTGTTATGACTTCCGAGCAGCCTTCTACCTCATTAACCTCTTTCCAGTATCGGATGACATACTAGCGAAGGGTCTCGGATTCCCTACGTCTGAGCGTTAGTAATGATCCAACGTCTTTTGGCCGCTTACTCCCCGTAATGAATCGAGCCAGAAACTGCCTCGTCAATTCCTTCCACGATCCAATACTGTTGGGGGGAAGCGCCTCGAACCACTTCATCGCAGAGTCCCCCAAACTCATAGGAAACACTCGACAGAGGAACCGTTGGTCCGAATGATAGAGGGACATCATCTGCTTGTATTGCCTGAGATGGGCTTCGGGATCGGACCGCCCGTCATAAGTTTTGAACCTCAGCACGACAAACTTTCTTGAAACCTCCATCTCTCCGATCTCCCTGGTAAAGGGTGTTTGTATGACCTTGTCTTCGACCTCATCCTGGACACCCTTACTCTTTCTCCTGGATTCCAACCGGGCTCTGAGATCAATTTCCTCCCTGACGGGATGTCTTCTGAAGTCTTTGAGTTCATCAATAGGCCCCCCATTTCCTGGGCGCCGTGTGGATAGGGTAGAATCCTCCTCGGACTCATCTCCCTTCCTCCGTCTAGACAATCCTCGCCGGAGGTCGTCCAGGGCTAATGGCCTTGCCTTCCTTGAATGGTCGTTAGGAGGGTGCTCGTTGGCTCTCGGTCGCTTTGGGGCCTTGGAGCTTTCTGCCTTGTTGTTTAAATGATTCCTTAGATCTTTCGTTTCCGCCTCCCGGACGGGGAACCCACGAGAAAGGAATGAGTCCCTCGACCCTTCGCCGAAGGCGGCAAATTCGTTGAGCCGGCTTAGGACGTTTATATTGTCCTTTTTCAGCTGTCGTAATCTATCGCCAAACTTTTCTTCGATCACCTCCGCCAGCTGACGAGCCAAGGGGGCTGATCCTCCTGACCTGATTCCCATACTGGTTTGAGGGGTAACCCCTCTTGACTGAGTAGAGGCATTTTTATTCCCATCAGTGTGATCCCTCCCTCCATGGTGACAGGGAGCTTGTAATTCGAGACTTCTTTGGTGGAGACCTTTCCCTTTTTGTCGAGTGTTCACCATGGTCACTGTTCTTTATAGAGAAAAAACTAGGAAAACTAGTCGTTTCCCACAGACGGCGCCAGATTGTGCGCGCTAGATCTTGCACAATATAAAAACGAGAACAGATCTCTCCCTTGGTGAACTCGAGTGAATTAGTTGAGTGGTCAACCACGCTGCTTGGAACAGCCTGTGAGATCCGGTGGTAACCTGGGACGGTAATGGGAGACTCTCGCGGATCAAAAGAACGATCTAGTAAGGCTGAAGAAAGGTTCCTGGAACAAAGAAGAACAAGTTAGAAGGGCGCCGGAGTGTTTTTCGGCGTATCCCCTCCGACGATCAAGTCAATTTTTGAGAGAGAGAGGAAGAAGAAAACACTGAGTATAATTTGTAGCAAAAGTTTCATCTCTTTTTCCTTACCTTTAGTGAGGAGTATTTATACCTCAAATACTCATGATTGCTGTCAGTATGGTCAGTAGGTGATCATTAGATACAGGCAACGTGCGCACTGATTCCTATAAGGAATGTCTTCTCTTTTAACTGCTCGGGACCCGAGCAATCAAGACTGTGTCATCGGCCTGCCGACGGTTCAATAAGCTCCTCTCGGGGAGGATGCAATAAATGCCCAGCCTTAGAGACATTTATTGCCTTTTACTTCCGAGTCTTACCGCATTGAATGCAGTCTCATCAAGGAAATGGTGTAATTAAATGTTTGTTTTCCCAAGTCGCGTGTCAGCAAGGTCATGCGGTCTTTCTGTCTTTGATGTGACACAATATGTCATGCGTCCATTCCCCATTGGCTGTGGCCCTTGCCTTCCTGTGCCTTCTGACACCAATTGTGTAAGACGAGGTCATGATAGCTAACCTAGCCTAGTGACCAGTGCATCAATAGCCTCTGCTGGAGCAGAGAACGGTATCCTAGACGAGGGGGGTACATCTCGGTACCGAGGAGAGGTACATCTCAGAGCCGAGGAAAAGGTACATCTCGGAGCCGAGGAATAGGTACATCTTGAAGCCGAGAGGGGGAGGCCTAGCGACCGATGTACCATATCAGACCGAGGTTACGTGATCGGTACATAAAAACGTACTGGATGTCACTCGATCCCCATGATCAATACCTCGGGAAAGAGGGGACTTGTGACCCGATGGATACGTGATCTCGGTAACAAGGATTAATGACACCGAGGACACGTGTCTTCATCTCAGAGTATTTCGAAAATGTCCCATCAGAAAGTAATCTAGAAAAGGTGTAGATAAAATTTTCTCCATAAAATAGTAACTTAAAAATTTTCATATGTTCGACAATCATTTCTATTTAAAACTTTGGGTAAAACAAAATGGTGACAATATCACAGTGGTTGAAGTGTCACGATCCATCTCTCCATTAAAAAAACTAACTAATTTGAAAACTCACGATATCACTCCACATCAACCGGTGAATGTCAAACGATGGTATCAAATAACATTTTTTTTTCATTTTAAAACATACATTAGAAAAATGCTACCATAAATGGAAAATTTGCAAAAAACAATGTTATTCAAATTTAATTTATTGACCAAATCATTCACTATCAACCAAAGTTCCAATGATTATTTGAAAAAATAAAGATATCATTCAAAAAAAGCGTAATATTTGGGAAACCCTGGCAAAGTAGACTAATATTTATACTATGATCTACGATGATTTTCAACCCAAGAGCAGTCCAAGGGAACTACACAACTCTGGTTCCTGGAATCATTAAAAAAACGCCAATGCTTTTTGTTCATAGAAAATCACAAGTTTGCACCAAAGAAAAGAACGAGATTAGAGTTAAAGACAAACTAAACAGAATCATTAAAACATTATTAGCAACAAACATGAGCACATAATTACAACAGTAGCGTAATGGAGTTTGTGGAGGCTGCCCCTACGGACACTTCCCTGACCAAGTTCAATGTTTGATCTGAAGTCTCTTCACTGGTCTACACGCATAACAACCGCTGAAAAAAACTCAATATAAGGTGGGCTAAATCGCGGCCAAAAATCCATTGGGAGCAGAGCTCGCCCCAAAAAACCGAACATTGAAAACTGAAAAGGAAAAAGAAAGAAAGAAAGAAAGAAAGGGAAAAGAAGACGAGAAACAACCAAAAAAATAAATAGGAAGACACCAGTCACCCTGAAGACTAGTGAAAGTGTGGCAAAAGGTAATGCAAACTGAATGCCATAGATTTATCTTTTTGCTGGTTTCTTCCTCCATTCAGTGCGGCCCCTGTTTATTTCAGACCCCTCATCAGATAATCTAAGTAAATGCAAGAACTGACAGTAGTCCTGGTTATGATGTGTTGTAGCAGCAGATCCGTTGGTTCCTTTGAGCTCTAGAACTGCAGTATCCTCAATTGGTTCTGAACTAGTGAGGGAATCAACTATATCATCTTGTTGGCATTCACGTCTATAATCCAAAGTGATGGTTTGCAGTTCATGGGTGTTGAGGATTTCTTTAGGTATGCTCTGTTACATGGACAATGTATAATTCTATTAGAAAGATTTAGCTCACATAAGAATCACAAAATACAGTTACAATTTGACTTTGCAAAGAAATTTGGTTGCTAAAGAATCATCTGGGGACAGAGATTTTGAGAATCTATCAATGATGAAAAGGAGGAAGAGGGGGAAAGGGGGCACAGCTAAATGCAATACTCAAAAAAATGTTTGAGCAGGCTCTGAGATAAGAAAGAACAGGATGCATGCTTGGTAGGATTAGGACCTGAGACAAACCATCCAACAGTGCTCACTTGAGAGTTAACAGCTTATATAAGGTGCCATGGCAGGCGCTAATTTTTGGAGCAATAAACCAGGATAAAATTTTCTAGAAGGTTCGATATATTGCACCTTGGCATATCTGATACATCGATATCTTGTCTTTGGTTTTATGTCCTCCTTTAATTCATTTTGGTGAGATTATGGGGTCATTAAGGATGTATTCCCAGGCAGCACTAATACTAAAAACCATCAGATTGCATGTTCGAATATGAGGACTAATAATGCTATAGAGTAGATCTGTACCTAGTCCACCTTTCCTTGCAACCTCGATCAATAGGGATAAAACAAGGTAGTGAGGCGTACATTAAGGAAGGTGGGAGTTATTTCTCCTGAATGCTAGATGGAAGTAGCCAACCAGCCATTCAGCAACCAAGGAAAGTCCTCAACTGTAAGATGCTTTACCCTAAGCCTCACCTTCCCCCCCCCCCCCCCTTCTCTCCTCTTTTTCTCGAGTAAATATTCAATGCAATGGTGACACCAAGTCTTGATTGACAAGTGGCTTCACCAACAAATTATAAGCCACCATAAAAGTCCATTGAATGGCTATTCCAATAGCCATCAATAACCACCACATCCAATAGATTTGATTGGGTTAAGTGCGGATTTAATAGGCTCATTTGCTAATCTGCAATTGGCAAATGTATCAATGATGATGTGGTATCAATGTTGCATTGAATATTTACTCCTTTTCCTCCCCTTTGCTCTCAAAAAAAGACTACAAACAACTGAAGCAGGCCCACCAATAACTTTGCTAGTATGGAGAAAAAGGCAACAGCCAAATCGAGGGCAAGATTTTCATATTCTACTATAGTCCTTAACAAAAGAACAAGATCTCTTAAGTGAGCATATGTCGCAGAACTAGAATAGATTTATGCGCAAGATGTCTAACATCTGATAGTTTCGAACAAGATAATATGTAGTGTGGGCATAGGAACTTTTCTGGGTTATATTTAACGATGGGTTTGCAAACAGTAACATAACAACAATAACAGATGAAATATGTTTAATTGGAATAGAGGCATGTTTGTACATAAGGAAAGCAAAATGTATTTAAATTGAAGAGTGGCATTTTTACCAACCTCCAGAACCCATCCAATGTATGTGACATTGTTTACATGCTGGTTCATGTCCAGATCAGCTCTTCTTGGCTGCAAAGACATGAAACATGTTCAAACTTGAGAACTTAAAACAGAATTTCTAAGCCAAATTATCTTACCACTAGTCCTAGCTTGGAATAATGACCAGGGTCTTCCAATTTTGATATTTTCCTCAGGCTGCCATTGTTCTCCTCAGGAAATGATAATCTAGACATCATGAAAAAACAGAAGATAAATGAAGGATTCTGTTTCAAATACAAATCACATTTGAAGACAATCCCACATAATATTTATAGCTCTTCCTTTCCAACCAAACTAATATTTAAAAATCAAAGAAATCATTTATAAATCAATTCTTTCCAATTCAACCCTACTTGAAGTTGGGTTCTTCAATCAGGAAGTTTTATCACCACACGATTATCTGACAGTTGTATGTGCAATGACACGACTTAAAAAAAAAGCCCAGCTCACAGAATGGAGAAATTCATCATCAGGGACGTTTATTACCACTCAAATATCTGATAATGTGCAGAAATTGACCTAACTGAAAGTGTGTGGAGCTAAGAATGGTTATCCTCATGACCATGTGATTTTGCAGACTGAATTTCTATGGATTTTCTAGACTGTCTTACATGTGACAGACTTTTCACTTTTGAGTTTTATGACTCAAACAGGTATGTGTAACTAACCCAATGTCATTCTTGTAGTCCCATCGTCCTCATGGTCATTAGCATGTTCAGGCTCAAAATGAAATACCAGAAACTCATAATGACCAGGAAGGATTGCAATTCTACGTAGGGCTTAGGCACTCAAAGACTCTTATCTTAGCTTTTGTCCCTTCTTTCAAGTTGTTTTAAGCTTTTATAATATTTTTATGCTAATAAGTGGACCAAACAGAGAATAAAATGCAGAAATAGGGGAAGGGTTCTAATCCTTATCAGCTGCCCTCCTTTTTCTCATAAATGCTTAGATTCTGAATATAAGGGCATGAACAAGCACATCAATTATGAAAGACGGATCCAAAGGACTGTTATAATCCACCTCTTCTCAATTTGCAGGAAGTAAAAGTCTTTTTTTTTTTTTTTTTAAATTTTGGATGACTTGCAAGAAAAAAATAGCTTATGCATGATGTTTCACTAATTGCAAATAATAAATAAAAATTTATACCATGACAGAAGAAGGCCTACCTAGGTTCTTTAGGGCAGTAAATTAAATATTCATCTCGGACCTCATCAGTGACTTTCTGAAGTCGTCTTGTATCTTGGTTCATCATCACCCACTTGCTGCATTGGAAAAATGTAAAAGGTCAACTTATAAAAGAAGCAGCATCACAAGTAAAAACATCGATAGTTAATTGGATTTATGGCCTAGATCTGATCAACAGAACAACTGAAGAATTATGTCCTCCCATTTTGTAAATCTCAGAGATTTTCTAACGTTTACAACTTCCAGAAAATTATTAAAATTTCAGAAGGTGTGATACATCATATTATTATATTCAACCCATAGCTTTGCTCCTGCCATCTAAAAGACCAAATCTGGTCACCACCAATTTACTTCTCATTGTTTAGCCAATAAAATCAGTCCCTGCATCAAAAGCTGATTTCCCAACTTACCAATTCCAACAATTTGATTCAATCTTAAAGCCCTATTCATACAGAGTTCAGTTGAGAAAGTTAGAATGTATAAACTTGCCAGGTAAGCTATTGCCCATGTTGAAAAAGGCTTTTGATTTACGTTTTTGATAACCAGGTTAAGCCTTAGTCGGATCATTCAACTGGGGACTAACATCCATTGGGACATAAGCTATTGATATTACCACTTCTACACAAAAAAATATGGTGCATTTGGTTATCTGCAGCAGTAAATATCTAAATGGATAGGATTGAAATAACAGGGAAGTGTATCTATCAAAGAGAACATCCTTGCTGTGATTTGCTGCAAACAAACCACATATCATAAGGTCAAGATTGATTCTCACAGTGGTAATTTGTCGGACTACCAAACAACTTCCACCTTTCTGTGCGGAGAGAATCACTTCTAAGATGCCAAAATATGATTGATAGTTGCTTTGGGAAATATTTTGCCTATTCGACAATAAAAAGGGCGGCCCAATGCCCAAGGCTCCTGCTATTGCAGGGTCGTGGGAACGGTCAGATGTACGCAGCCTTGTTAAAGATGAAAAAAAGAAGCCGAAATAGGCTGTTGTTAACCAACAAGGAAAAGACAAACACAACTCAAATCCATACTGCATAATCAAAAAGTCACCAGAAAAATGCATTCCACCAACAGTTAAGATCAAACGTTTTGGACTCTTAAGGTTGGATGGGAAGAGGTCTTACTTACTTCTTAGTGCTACAATGGGTAGGATTGAGTTAACTGTTGTGCATGCCTTTAAATCTATTTTCCAACATTTGGATGTGTGTGTAGAATTGGAAAAATCATCCTTCAGTATCATTTTTTTGATAAAATTCTCAGCTTGAAGCTTAACTTGAGAAACAGAAAACAATAAAAGATTAAAGAGCACCTCGTAGCCCTTCCAATGACTTCACCAGTGGCATAGTCTTTGAGAATCCAATCACGTCTAGTTCCTATCCTTCCTTCGCCTTGGCACCATGTCTCTATTTCAACAACATCACTCCTGTTCACAATTATACATATGAAAAGTATGTTAAACTTGCTAACCGAATGGATGCTGCAGTATGACTTATTAGGGAGCAAAATTTCACCACGCTGGGTATTTATAGATTTCAATGTGCATGCGGGCTGTGACCCATATGAGATGCAATTTTCTCATGGTGTGAGTAGTCGCAAATCCATCTGTTGAAAATCCAACGCTCTGAGCATGGTTACATCCAACCTCCTGCAGAGCAATTTTTTTCAAGAACTTTAGACAAACATGGAATGTAATTTTGACATAGTAGAAGTTGCAAAGGAAAATCCCTTCGAAAGCATCCCCAATATAAAATTCCATAGCAAATTTCATGTCAAAAACTACAACCATGAAGGAACCAAAATAAAAAAAAATTCGGATAAGAAACAAATCACTAATTGCAAAAGTAATTGAATACATAAAACCAGTGAGAATGAAGATAACTATTTTGCTAAAAATTGACAATTTGCCAATTTTTTGGTTTTCTGATTCAAGAAACATGCAAAGGATTGAATTCAATGCCGAGAAAATCAACAAATCCACCGCTCGTTATGTGAGAAATCAGTGCACATTCCAGGGAGAAAGAACATAAACTGTCGCTAAAGCTTCAAAAATTCAGCAACTTTAGAAAAAAAACAAAAAAAAATATATAAGAAAACTCAAATCATACAATTCAAGCCACATAGTTGATTGCATGTTAGAAAGAGACATGCAGGAACAAATCCAGTGCTAAATAATCCATAAATTTAAAAAATTAATAACATATATGAACAAACTCATATGAATAGAGGGAGAGATTTTATACCTGTAAGAGATTGGCAATGGTTTCAACAGTGGCAGTTTTGTTAATCCCAACCTCATAACACCTCACTATGAACTTCTCTTTGTAAGATAAGCCGTCATCCGTCAAACTTCCAAGCCGCCGCCGTAGCCGATCCTTCGCCTCCTTGCTGTTCGGCTCTCCGGTCCCCACAGTCAATACCGGAGGATGTCCCTGGGAAAGAGAAGATGCGCACGAGACGACGGGGTATGGTCGGCGAATCGACAGCGGATTGGATGATGGGCCAAAGAATCGGCATTGGGTTAGGGCTTGAATTTGGTCCGGTGAAGCATTGTAAGTTGAAAATGGGACTCTCAAGAGCATCTTCTGCTTCACCGTCTCTCTCTCTACAATTCTTGCATACCACAGAGATCTCAGAGAGTTTATTTGTAATGACTCTCTCTCCCTCTATTGTGTCCTTCTGTGGGGAGATCTGCTGTCGATGGGACCAAGGCTGCTACACCTCATTTTTTTCACGGGTCGTGTAAGCCCGTCACACTCTCTGATGTGGTGCTCATTCTTTCGCAAAATTCACTTTTTCCTCGTCAATTTTTTTAAGGGAGAATTACACTTAGGCATACGAAGTTTGATATTTAATCATTTAGATCACTGTTATTTAAAATATTACACACAAATCTCTTCAAGTTTACACGCGTAATACTTAAACTTTGTCATTAATGTCCGTGAGTATATTTGTTACTAAATTATACATTGATTCTCTGAAATTTTTAAATGTATAATATTTAGACCCTTAAGTTTAAAATATTATATTAAAACCTCTTATTAGTTACAGAATTAACAGAATTTATTAAACGACCAACTTATCTTAATTAAATATGGAAGATATTATGTTCATTATAGTTTAACCTCTTTATTTAGTTTTATTTCAATATATAGAATAATTGTATACTAATTATAATTTTTTAATAAAAAATTATATTTTTAATTTTAATTTTATTTCAATAAATGACAAAATATAACATAAATTTTGGTTATAAAATTTAAAATATTTGATATTCTATTTTTGATTAGAATATTTTTAATATAAGCATAATATTTTAAACTTGTAAGGGTTATACGCATACAATTTTAGGGGACTTATGTATGATATTTCAAATATTAAAAAGTTTAACTGATTAAGTAACAAACTTCAAGGTTAAGATATAATTCTCCCTTTTTTATTATTTATTTTTTAGGTTATTCGAAACTTTATTATTTTTTTCTAACCACTAAACATTTTTTTTTGTCAAAAAAATAATTAAAGAACAGAAATCAAGAAAAAAAAAACTCACGAATCAACGAGATCGTGGTTTAGATGCACAAAATCAAAAAAAATTAAATCCCTTATCTCAAACCCAAAAAAAGATGTTGAAGAAGATTATGTGCGATTAGACAAGAAAAAACTTAAAACAAAAAAATAACTTGTATTAATTACATAAATTTTATGAATTTGTTCGGAACTGGTCATTAAGAATTTTGAAAAACTTATAGGGGATGAAAAATGAATTTTTTTTTAATTAAATCAGTGATGGTTAATTAATGAGAATTAAAAAAAATGTTATGTGAGCAAGTGTTAGATGGTGATTTGATAGGATTTTATTTCATAGTTAAATTAATTTAAAAGTTAAAAAATAAAAAATAAAAATAAAATTGTAAGGAAATATTTTCTAAATCATCTTCCTGATGCACAATTGTACATTGTTGATCTAGGCTAGTATTAGTGTTGGATTAGAAATAAATCCTAGTATTCGATAAGTTAAATAATTAGGTCTAAAACCTGATTTTTTTTTATTTTTTTTTTTGGAAAAAAATCTCATTTTTTTTAAGTTTTAAAGGGAAAGAAACTTGGTCTGTTTGGACCTAAGTTTATTGAGTTATTTTTCTATCATTGTTTTTAGCAAAAATAATTTTTATCAGCACCAAAAGAAAAGTTAAAAAAAAAAAGACTTATTCAAAGACTTTCAAGGAAAAATTGAACTTTTTAGAAACACTTCAAACGATTCAAGAACTTTTTTAACTCTTGACCTTTTTATTTCACTTTTCAAATGTTTCGCACCCAAAAAACACAAAAAAAAAAAAAAAAAGAAGCTCCGAACTGATCCATCCAAACGGGTCCATTATTGACTTGACACACAACATGGGTACATTTGAAAGAAACACATGTATACATCACGAAGTCTTAAAAACATCACAAAGTCACAACCACCATTTCGGTGACTAGTTGGATTCTTTTAAGACCGTTTCATTGAGAGCAATGGTGATTGTCTGTCTGTGCATCAGAAGATGTATTCATTACAACCAGTGATATCACGTCGTCGTCATGTACCTCCATTTCAACATCCAATAATCTACCGCCCCAAATCCAAGTAAACAAGGAGTTTTCTAATAGGAGGAGGTAAAATTGTACCTTCCAGTTCCAGCATGTAGTTTGGGCTATTCATGGCGGTACATAACAGAAATCTCTTCTGAATTTTCTTATTGATCTTTGAATGTTCCGGATATAAGGTCACAACAAATTAGTTACAGTATAGACCAATTGAAATTAGAGGGGTTTCAGGCAACGAAAAAGATGCAATATATAAAGGATTATGTCTATTGATGTCATACAAGCTAGAAGTTCCACCTTGGAGATGAATGGACAACAGCAGTTTGTCGGGGTCTGTTGGGCTGCTCTGAGTTGTTCCTTTTCTTCATGATTGAGGATACAGTAGGGCCAAAATAATCGTTACCTCTGTGAGAAGTTGCCCCTTGTGAATAAACCTTTCTTCCTTGCATGAAGCTTCTTTGCATTTCTAGCATTGCCTTGTGAGCAACTGGATTCCTTTGGACAGGCCCCCATCTGTTGTAGTTTACACAGCTTTGGCTTCTCCCTACTTGCTGAAACTTTGCCTGCCTAGGACTTGGATAATTTCGGCTTTCGGCAGTTTCTGCAGAGTACATAGTAGTCTCCCCCTCACTACTATATCCATTCTGCTCCTCCAATACCTCAATCCGAGACGAACTAGACTGGACCTCACTCTTGGCATCCCCATTTACAGAACCTGTTGAGGCAATCTCAGCATCTGCCATGGTGACAGACTGTTCTCTGTCACTTAATTGCTCTTCTTCCCTCAATGGGTGCTGCAATGGAAGTTTCTTGACATAATTCTGGTCTGACATTGGGGGCAGATTTCTGGCAGGCTGTGGTGACACTGTAGCTTTGGCAATTTTTGGTGGGAAATTAATATCCAAAAGCTGGATTTGGGTAGTTTCCTTCTTCCTAATAGGAACTGATGTCAACTTTGGTGACTCATAAATTTCTGGAGTTGGAATCCCCTGAACATGAGTAGTAGCACGGGGATCAGTGATTAGGGTTTCATCTTCAAAATTATTTGCCGCAGATGAAGAGCTTGGTCCAGGCTGGTCTCTGGGATCTGAGATTAGGTTTGATGATGATGGCATTCCTTCATTTTCAGCTTCTGTCGGCTTGAAAACCCGCCGCATTGTGAAGGACGTACAAGAATGCTCACTCTTCTGGCCAGCTGACATCAATCGCATGAGTGGCAACTTCGGTTTGTTGAGTTCATCAAGATTCCCCTCCCAATGCTGGTTTAACCAATCACAGATAACAGGAATAGGGATACCAAATTGCATAGGAAGATCCTTCTTCCATGATGATGACGAGGATGATGACGTTGAAGAGGTTTTTGTGTTTGGAGATGTGGCCAGCTTCATGGGATCACAGACCATGAATGCAAGATTGCCATGCACATCAAAACCAGCAGACCCAGGGTTCCAAGTTACTCCATCAGTTGACAGCTTTATAAGATTGTCAGTGGCTATCACAACCTTTCCTTCACCAATTGTCAACTCCTTTCTCTCTGCATAACCCAAGAGGTAAACTGTACTACCCAGATCTAGATTGGTCTTAGAACAGGTTCTCAAGTAGTGAGGCTGCTGTGCCAGCACATTTGCATCTCCATCCATGGCATCTAGACCTACTATAGTCAGGTCAAGAACAGAGCTGGAGATGAAAAACCTGCAATTACATTTTTAACGTGAGCACCAGTGAGACAACTGAAGAACGGATTCAAATCATGCACTGCCGACCTGAGAAAATATCACCAAATCCATTTCTTTCATTTACCCGGGAGTCCAGTTGAAGCTACAGCTAAGATGCATTTCCAAAAAGTGTGTTTGTCGCTAGGTGGGAGGGGCAAAACCGAACTCTTGTCATCGTATTGATTAAATTCAAGAAATGCAACTTTTTGTGATAGGCAACAAGAGTAAGATGAACAGGCAAGATAGACATGTAATGATCAAATAGGAGAACACATTATTCTACTTTGTTTTGTTGATAAGCTGAGATTGGAGAACACTTTTGAGACTTCTCTGTACAGGTCAAGAATGCATGAAATCTCATACAGTTCATGGAAGAATAACTTCCCAGATTGATACTCATAAAAGATTCCTTCATTTGGAAGCAGACCTAATAGTAAAACCATTAAAGGTCAAATCTGCCCGAAATTAATCCAATCAATATCATAGACATCGCTCATAGGTGCATGTCCTCTGACAAGGTATGTCATGCAAGTGAACAATAACACGCATCAGTGACCATCAAAAATCTGGTGAAGCTGGTGGGCAACTGCGGTGGAAGTAGGGTGATGCTAGAATAAGGTTCAGGAAGGGGTATTGTTGGTTGATTTGTAAGGTTGGCAACTGTGGTTTTGTGAAGTTTTATGGATTCTACGTAGAAGGAAGTTAACGAAGTCCTGTGGAGTAAGTTTCCATAAAACAGGACTAAAAGATAGCCTGTGCAGAATGGCGCCCACTTAATACCCTGCATGATTCGGTCCATGTGGACCAACATGAAGAATGGCATTTTATGTGTATAAGCAAGCAGAAAGTTCAAATCTAATAAAGCGCAACTTTCTTAGGCATCTTCTTCTAAGATTAGTCACATGCTGACAAAATAAAGTTAAAATGAAAGATAAATTTTAAATTTTAACTAAATATGTATAAAAGAAACCATAAAGCTCAACATGCAGTATTTGGTTTGTCAAAAAGATGATGCAGGACTTTAACAAGCACTTATTGGCTCCTTCAAATGTCTTTATTCTATTCTTTTTAAGTTTCCAAATCATGAGGATTTAATGCCATATTATAGTTCACAAGCATTATCTTTGACCAGATGTGAGCATAACTTCAATTACGGTCCACAACTGATCCCCTTCTATATTGTCAATACGTAGATAGAAACAGAATTCAGATGCCTTTCGAACCCTTCCCTTCCCTTCCCCCCCCAGTATTGGTAATTGGTTAGGACCAAATTCCAGACATAATTTCCCAAAATTACTAAATATTAAATATGATACATAAGTGCCAGCATAGTTCCCTCTCTTTGAGAGCAATTATGTAAGCATAGTATTGACCAATTAAAAGATGAAGAAAATATATCATAAACCTAAATACAACCAAAAATTCATGGGCTTATGCGAACATCAATGCATTTGAATGCAGTTCACTTTGAGATATAAATGAGTCTTCAGGATTGAGAGAAAAAAATCAATTTTTTTACCTTAAACTAATTAGACCATGTCAATCAATTATTGAACCAAATCCTATTCAAATAGACAAAACCAATTAGGAGGTGTTTGCTTAATGATTTATTGTCATGATATCACAAGAAAACATAATTGTTTGCTTATTATCGCCTATCATAAGAAGCACGTACATGATTCTAAGGCAATACTACATGAACTTAAACCCAACAGAATAAAATAATATGAAGTAGGATGTCGAAACAGCAAGGACACATCGACGGATTGAAGTCCTCCTACATCTATATAATAAAACACATAGAAACTTGAATTTTTATCCCCTACATATTTTCCCCCTTAAAAATATGACATCACTCATTTCTATCACATGTTCAATCATTTAATATTTGTAGTTTAACATTATTTCTATTTCAAACATTATTCATATATGATAGTATACACATGTTGAAGAATTTAATACAGTGAGATCGATTTTTTAGGCGCTCGAATTTTATGTTTCATCATGCCTTCAGACACAAGTTATAACTAGTCTCTATATAAAGCACTTCGCCCAAAGATAAGTTACCAGGTTATCATACTCTTGTACATATTGATTTTGGTCATCAATTACAATAATCAACAGTCCCGAATAGGCAAAATTAGCAATTATACAAAATTAAAGTGAATTTTTCCATCTTCCAATGCCCCATTCTTAATATGGGACTCAAGCAACTCACTTTTACTTTTCTATAGTACAAAAGATGGCTAGTCTATTTGATATGGATCTCTAATTTGATTATTATATAAATGGATGCAATTTCTTCACACTAGAAAAGTCATAATTCACAATCCAACTTCTAAATTTAGTCAATCAAATTCAAATGTCACCATTGTTCAATATGCCTTAAACATGTGCCAGTCTTTGTTTTTTGTTTTCTCTTTATTTGATGCATCCAACATTAATTTTTTATTTTTCAATGAGGATAAGACAGATGAAGTGTCACGGAATTTAGGGTTGATCAATGCTAGCAACAATTTCTTTTACCGTGCACATGCACGTGACTGCTTCATTTTCACTCACATCATTGAAATGGAAATGTGTTACGGAGCACTTGCAATGTGAGAGATGAAAAGAAGAATGCCTACCAAATGGGTATCTAATCATTAGTCAAATGCCCCCACCCTCATCCCTACCAACAACACATACATTTTAAAGAGAGATATGAACCATTTTTAAGCAAATGACAACAACATCATCTAAGAAGCCCTCACATGTTGAATCCTACTAAAAATGCACCTCCATTGATTTCAATCCTATTTGAGATGTTGCATTTTAACTTGGTGTCACCCAAATGAAGTTACATAAACTTTAATTGTTGCATAGAATTTATTTAATCAATCTGGTAAACAGATAATTGGATCTCCCACGAGAGTCACCACATATTCACAAGAAGACAAACAGCAGGGAAACAGTTACTGAGCTAGGCCAATAGTTCAGATTTAAGTTTCAAAACAAGAGCCCGAGCTTCACCAACACCACATGATCTATTGCATACCACTAACTTGACACATGACCAGGTAAGGGATCTCTTAGCTGACAGCAGTGTCAATGCTCAGGATGCCTGAGAGGCTCTCAGTTACAAAGATCGCCAAGGATTGGGTTATGCTCAAGTAACACCCTTTCGAGTGCACACAACCAACCACCCCAACCGGGGGGCCACCCAAAAACACATTCTTTTCAAAGCAGAACAGTATAAATGACTAAAAAGCATTTCCCTATCAATGTATTCAATCTCGAAAACATGCATATAATTTACAACTAAGGCAGCAATTAACTCTTGCATCAACCAAAACTGCACCCAAAGGTCATCAAATCTGACAAGAAACATTCTTGTTGTCCTCTTCCACAGAATGTAGAAAAACAATATGTACAAATAAAAGATACCAAGACAATATTTACGGATTGCATTGTGCAGAACTGTTACTAATCACTGAAAATATAAGAACCAACTCTATCAGGCCCAAAAAAAAAAAAAAACTCTATCAGGCCCAACGTCACAACAACCAAGAGTAATTTCATAAAGATTAATCGCATCGCATTAGTCTCCACCACCTATAAACTCATATTTCCTCACTCATTTTCACTGTCAAGCCATCTCAATCAACTGAATCCACATCTCCTTATGTCACAAAAGGAATCTTTTTAAAATAATAATTTCGGCATATGTAGACATTCTGTCTAGAGAGAACCTGACCTGTGAGGGAAAAGGCGTGCAGCGACACCATTTTGGAGCTGGATCTCGGCGGCTTCAGCCGCGGCGACGGACGGAAGGTTGACGTGAGTGGTGAGGAGTAGATTCCGGTGGATGAGAAATCCGGTGCCGGACATTGAACCTGCGGCGGCGATTCTCGCCAAGGCCGGACCTTTGCCGGAGAAAATGGCGGCTTTCATTCTCTCTGATTTGCCCCCTCCGTTACAAAAACACCAAGACTCCTTCAAAACCCCCATTTTTCCACCAGGTTGAGTGAGATTTTCAGATCCGAAATTTGAGCTGGCAGTGCGCTCTCTCACTCTCTACCTCTTAACTTCCGCTAGATATTTCTAACTTGATCATATGCGTGTGTCTGTCTGACAGATACAGAGAGAGAAAGGAAGAGTTACAAACTTACAAGAGAAGGGAGATGAGATGCTCATGAAATGCGTAAAGATACATATATTTTTAATCCGAAATACAGGGAGTAAGAGTGTTTCTTGTCTGCATAAGTAAGCGTGTACGTGTGGGTCTGTGTGTGAGAGAAATAGAGAGAGAAAGAGCAGTGTGAAATGAGAGCAGAGGAGTGAAACTGATTTACCCCGAGGCATGTAGTGTGTTTTTTCCTGATAAGGCCTCCCTCCAGTTTACCTCCAGTTCAAAATAAAAAAAAGTTTTGAACCCACAATCTGAAAAGAGTAAAGGAAAATGGTAATCTTGTCATCAATGTTCGATGAGTTAGTGTTATTGAAAAAATTGATGAGTCATATTTATCTAAATAATGATATAAATTTGAATTATATTTTTTTGAGTTCTATTTAAATTGTGTAGTATTAGTAATGTTTTTTTGGATTTAAAAATTTGGTTTAATTTGTTAACTTAATGATGTTATATCATTAGAATCATAGGATCAACATTAAATTCTATTGTTCGATAAAACCGACGGTCAAACTAAAGATCATAATGAATTAGATTAACAAATTAAGTCAATAAATTAAATATTAATAATATTACTCATTTAATAAAAACCAACATTTTTTTTTTGTGTTGAGAAAAAAAAAAGGTGGGATAAGGAAGAGTGTTCAACAATCACCCCGATAGCCCTTCACCGGTGGTATCATAAAGCCCCCGACTTCGTCTGGAACAACTCTCAGGACTAGACCTAACTGAGATAGAATAACAACCAACCACCAAACCCTAATAGGAACTCCAAGACTCGAACTCCTAATTCGTGATCTTAAAGTATTATAGTGAGGTTTTATTAGCCCAATCAGTAGCCACCGACACTAACTAGTTTACAAATGTTAAATTGGTTAATTTCAGTGTTAGGCCTCTTATTTGTTGGGTTGAGGAATTTTTGTATTATATGGGTTACAACTTTCACCTACCATTGTGTGCAAGGGTTAAGATTTGTATGGTATCCAGCCTAAAATTGTCATATTAACATATTAGAAAGAGTAGGCGAGGTAAAGACCATTTCCAGATCTTATGTAACATACTTAATATGAGTGCAGTCAGTCAATTTGTGCAAACAATATCAAATGATAGAACTGCATCGTATTTATTTTTCCCAACACTTTCAATTAATAAGATTAAATTCTAAAAGATAA